GCTTCCTGAAGGTAATACCCAGGTATCAGGGTAATCAGGCTAGGGACAGGTTTAAGGTTTTTGGCGTCAGGGTTAAAATCCCTGTCCAAAACCTTTGTAGGAACTCTTTTCCAACCTTTTGGAGTTAGTTACACCAAAAATAAACGAAAAATGAAAAAAAAATATTTGGGGTGTTCGGTCTTCCTGAAGGTATTAGATTATGGGGCTATGGAAAGGTTTAATGTTTTTGGCGTTAGGGTTAAAATCACTGTCCAAAACCTTTTTAGGAATATGTTTCAGACCTTATGGAGTTAGTTAGACCAAAAAAAAATTGTAAAATGAAAAAGAAATATTTGGGGTGTACGGGCTTCCTGAAGGTAATACCCGGGTATAAGGTTATGGGGCTAGGGTAAGATTTAAGGTTTTTGGCGTTAGGGTTAAAATCACTGTCCAAAACCTTTGTAGGAACTCTTTTCCAACCTTTTGGAGTTAGTTAGACCAAAAAAAAAAGGAAAGGAAAAAGAAATATTTGGGGTGTTCGGGCTTCCTGAAGTCAATACCCAGGTATTAGGTTATGGGGCTAGGGTCGGGTTTAAGGTTTTTGGCGTGAGGGTTAAAATCCCTGTCCAAAACCTTTGTAGGAACTCTTTTCCAAAGTTTTGGAGTTAGTTAGACCCAAAAGAAATGAAAAATGAAAAAAAAATATTTGGGGTTTTCGGGCTTTCTGAAGGTAATACCCTGGTATAAGGTTATGGGGCTAGGGTAAGGTTTAAGGTTTGTGGCGTTAGGGTTCAAATCACTGTCCAAAACCTTTGTAGGAACTCTTTTCCCACCTTTTGGAGTTAGTTACACCAAAAAAAAAATTGTAAAATGAAAAAGAAATATTTGGGGTGTACGGGCTTCCTGAAGGTAATACCCGGGTTTTAGGTTATGGGGCTAGGGAAAGGTTTAAGGTTTTTGGCGTTAGGGTTAAAATCACTGTCCAAAACCTTTGTATGAACTCTTTTCCAACCTTTTGGAGTTAGTTAGACCTAAAAAAAAACGAAAAATGAAAAAAAAATGTTTGGGGTGTTCGGGCTTCCTGAAGGTAATACCCGGGTATTAGGTTATGGGGCTAGGGTAAGGTTTAAGGTTTTTGGCGTAAGGGTTAAAATCACTGTCCACAACCTTTGTAGGAAAAAGTTTCAGACCTTTTGGAGTTAGTTACAACAACAAAAAAAAAGTAAAATGAAAAAAAAATATTTGGGGTGTTCAGGCTTCCTGAAGGTAATACCCAGGTATTAGGTTATGGGGCTTTGGAAAGGTTTAAGGTTTTTGGTGTCAGGGTTAAAATCACTGTCCAAAACCTTTGTAGGAACTCTTTTCCAACCTTTTGGAGTTAGTTAGACCAAAAATAAATAAATTTAAAAAAAAAAAATGTTTGGGGTTTTCGGGCTTCCTGAAGGTAACACCCGGGTATTAGGTAATGGGGCTAGGGTAAGGTTTAAGGTTTTTGGCGTTAGGGTTAAAATCACTGTCCAAAACCTTTTTAGGAACATGTTTCAGAACTTTTGGAGTTGGTTACACCAAAAAAAAATGTAAAATGAAAAAAAAAATGTTTGGGGTTTTCGGACTTCCTGAAGGTAATACCCTGGTATTAGGTATTGGAGCTACGGTAAGATTTAAGGTTTTTGGCTTTAAGGTTAAAATCACTGTCCAAAACCTTTTTAGGAACATGTTTCAGAACTTTTGGAGTTGGTTACACCAAAAAAAAATGTAAAATGAAAAAAAATATTTGGGGTGTTGTGGGAACTCATATATCATACCTATCATTTAGTCATTGTTTTAGGTAATTAACTGTTTTCTTATTGTGTTTACAATATTTTGTGTGCTCATTGCGGACATGTACTGATGAGTCAGAATAGAAGGTTTAATGCTAACACGGGGGCAATTGACCACTGTGTCACAATGTATGGAACAGAGACTTTCAGTATAGAAGGATTTTAGCTTATGCCGAGAAGTGCCAAGGGATGGTAAGTATGGTTTTAAACTGTTATGCCTTAACAGTCATTTATTTCAAGTGTGTATTATAATCACAACAGTCATTTATTAAAAGTGTTCCTTATAGAAGTGCTCTATGCCCCTGACATATGCCTCAGATAATGATGTGCCTTTCATTAAAAGATGTGCAGGTGCTAGTCAGAGATGTTAACAACAGGACGAGGGAGGAAGATCACTCTGTCCTGAGAAGATGGGGAGGTATAAAGGGAGGGTTTGTATGCTCAGCAGTCTGCCCAGTGGGAACTCAGTGAAAGCTTGGAATACATGACGCAAATATGATCAAAAAGGAGACAAGCGCTGGATGCATCCAAGGTCAACTTCCCTGAAACCACGGTTTCGGTCAGGTAAAAAAAATAGAACAATACGTGCTTGTTTGTCCATAGAGAAACACTGGGGACTGCTGGGTATGTAAACTCTCCGCCCAAAAAGATGATGAGACGCCTCCTAGGGTATAACTATTAACTACTGAAAAATAATAATCAGACCACCTCAGAGATACCATTGGGTTGATGTTGTGCTCTCCAAGATATCTTGTGTTATTTGATGTGCCGAAATAAAAGGTTTGTTGAAGACACCTTTTTGCCTCAGTGAAACCTCTGTTCCAGTCTCCATCAACGGACTCGGGGAAGTTTGAAATAACTTCAACAATTTTGGGGGCTCGTCCGGGATGGAGTTCTGACAGAGCTTTTGAATTGGAGAAAACTGTTCAGTGCATCAGAGGAAAAGAGATCTGGTCGACCACAAAATAAGGTAAGCAGAAAACCTTTTTAACAGAATTTCTGCCTATTTGTGTTACTCTAAATCAAAGATCTCTTGAACTCTGTATATACTGAATCCTAAATTTATTACGAGGCTCATGATATTGTACTGGTACATCTTGTGATATTCTGTGTTCTGACGAAGAGAGAAACTATGTGTGAAATGAAAAGTGAAACTTAAGAGAAGCCTGTGTGAAGGCCGCAAAAAAGAGTCATAAGGACCACCGCTCTGGGTTGTGGCGGACCCCCCTAGTGGCTCGACGGGGCGCTAGTTGAGCTGGGTTGCAAACCCCGGGGACTTGGAGCCCCCTGAAAAGAAGTGTGTGATACTGTTGAATTCTGTGCGAGTTGATATGCCGCACAGAAAAATTCAGTGGAGACTGAGTTTCTCTATGCTGTGTGATTGTTGAATTTAGTGCGAGGAGCTGTGCCGCACAAAAAGTCAGTACAGACTGACTTTGTCTCTGCTGTGTGATATTGTTGAATTTAGTGCGAGGAGCTGTGCCGCACAAAAAGTCAGTACAGACTGACTTTGTCTCTGCTGTGTGATATTGTTGAATTTAGTGCGAGGAGCTGTGCCGCACAAAAAGTCAGTACAGACTGACTTTGTCTTTGCTGTGTGATATTGTTGAATTTAGTGCGAGGAGCTGTGCCGCACAAAAAGTCAGTACAGACTGACTTTGTCTTTGCTGTGTGATATTGTTGAATTTAGTGTTAGGAGCTGTGCCGCACAAAAAGTCAGTACAGACTGACTTTGTCTTTGCTGTGTGATATTGTTGAATTTAGTGCGAGGAGCTGTGCCGCACAAAAAGTCAGTACAGACTGACTTTGTCTTTGCTGTGTGATATTGTTGAATTTAGTGCGAGGAGCTGTGCCGCACGAAAAAAAAAAAAAAAAGAAAAAAGTCAGTGGTGACTGGCTTTGCCTCTGCTGTGTGATACAGTTGAAACCTGTGCGAGGAGTTCTGCCGTACAGAAAAAGTTCAGTGGAGAATAACTTTCTCTCTGCTGTGTGACATTATTGAAGCCTGTGTGTGAATAGATGATGAGGTAGATGATGATGGGTGGGGCCCGTTATCTCTACAGGCAGAGTGGATCTTAAAGGGCATAGGGAAAGAAGATGGAGTTGTGGTGACAGCGAAAGGGAGGGAAAAGTATGCTGATATGCTGCTAGAGCTTATCGAAGGGAGGGAAAATGAAAGATCCTCACTAGGAGATCTCATCTGGGCACGTGGGAAAGAAGAGCTAGCAAAAGGAGAAGCAGCAAGGAAGAAAGCAGCGCTAGGCAGCATTTTGCTCCGCAGAAAATATAAACAGGCCGTAAAAAAGCATTTTAGAGGACTTGCTAGGTGGCAGACGTTGGGAGTAGCCCACAGAGGGACAGAGCATCTTACTAATGTAAAAAAGGCAGCTGAGCAAGGTTTGACAGGGATTACCCCCACCCCAAATACAGACATGAGATTATTCAAATCAGCACACACACAGTAAGACACAGAAGGACACACCCACCAACACAAAGGGTGCCACCCCAGCTCCGCCTCCACCAGCTACCCCTCCCTCTATCCTGCCTCCTCCCACCGCTGAACCAACGAATCTTTTCTCAGGTCTCCACCCCTCAGCTCCGCCTCCGACAGCTCCGCCTCTACCCCCACCTTAACACTCTGCTCAGTCTGGTTTTCACAGAAAAAAACTCTCACCCACTAATCCTTTTGTGAGCACTTCTCTCTACCCAGTGATCATCATCAATGAAGGACATCTGAAGATTGACATACCCCCCACCATGATGCCTCAACAGCCGGACCCCTCCCTGACTTCTCACATTCCTGGACACAAGGCACCATCCATGGCCTCTAGGACTTTTGGTACCACCACCATCGACCTCTCAGACTACGAGGACAGAGAAGGCAACGATACCTACCGAGACATGAAAACAGCGATTCTGAAGCTGAGGACAGCGAGGAGGAAGAGGAGGACCAGCTCGATGCACCATTCGGAGACCGTCAGGCCCGCTTTTTGAGTGAGTTTAAAAAAGAATTACAATTTAAATCTTTGCCCACATCAGATTCACTGCCCGCTCCTGAGCCACAGCAGAGATCCACCCCCAGGGGACAGGTTAAGACGGTGATACCGTCTTAACCTAAGAGGTACATATGACCCCAATCCTACCAAGAGCACTCTCAATAAAATACTGCAAGACACCCTAGATGTTACAGGTGCAGAGCTCATGCGCAGCAGAGTGGAGGAGGAACTCAGACAGGAAGTGAGAGACGAAATGCTCAGCACCATGAGAGATGAGATGCAGAGGACCATCAGAGGCTCCACCGTCAACTATATGGATAACACGGACGCCAGTGAAGCCATGGCCCGACCCACAGCCACCATGGAGGAACAGCAGCGTATGACGAACGAAAAAAAGGGTGAGTGCACCTCTCAGCCACCATCACTTCACACGCTCAAAAGCCATGTTACCTCCAGCATATTCAGACGCAGCTACAGCACACCACAGCTCCTCCGCTTTCCCTCCGGTCGAATCCAGTGGTGGACACAAAATCTATAAACCATTCGCTGTTAGCGATACACAAACCATCAGTGATAAGCTGCCCCCCATCTCTGAGGGAGGCAACTTATGGCTGGACAAATTGGACTGCCTGACTAAAGGCCAAGATCTAGCCCTCGGCGATTTCAGGGCTATTCTCGCGCTCTGTGTCACCCCTACCGAACTCAGGGACATCGAAACCTGTGCAGGTACCATTTCCTGCAATGATGACAGGCAGCTAGTCACAGTAATTAGGGCTCTGCGTAATGAACTCCGTTCCAAATACCCGCTTCCCAACGGTCCAATGATCCCCAAGTTCTCATGGGACAAAAGTCTCTCTCCTAGCGAGTATCTAGCCCAGTGCAAGGAACAATGGTCCAAATACACGGGGGTCCACCCCAGTAAGGGCCAGGAACATTGGTTTGGAGATGCTGTAATTAAAGGTGTTCCAGCAGACGTTAGAGAACACTTGGAAAACAGCCCAGACCTTCCGGGCTCAACCTGCCTAGTGTGGGAACGACATCTCAAACACCACCTACAGAGAGCGAAAGACAGAGCTGACAAACAAGGTGATGATGACAAAGACATGCAGAGACAACTTGTGAAGCTGCAGCTAAGAAAGATCGTAATACAGATAAAATTATGATTGCCGCTGCCTCCAACGACCCACAGATTTCACCTGACATGTACCCAGTGCCCCAGCGGGCAGATTGTTCTCCCTATTCTCCTCCCACAGATCAATCTCAGGGTTCGTGGGGCGGAGGACGTGGAGCGAGGTCTGGTGGACCCTACAGGGGAGGAGGTTTCCAGGGCAGCAGGAGATTTCGTAACAACGGCCCTCCCCGCCAGGGCAGTTACTGGAATCAGGCACAAACAGCACCTACACGCAACAACGCCTGCCACTCCTGCGGCATGAATGGACACTGGTGGCGTGAATGTCCGAACTATCCACCCAACCCTCCGCAGCAACACAGCTACCCGATGCGTGGCATGGCCCGTGGACCACCTCCGCTGAGACAGGGAGGACCACCCCCACGGCAACAGCAGCAACAGCAGCAGCAACAACAGCAGCAGCAGCAGGCTCACCAGTTTCCAGTCGCAGTCACTGCCTGGGACCAGACCTGTGAGGCTCAGGACGCCTACCAGTATCCTCAATGACACGCCCCACAGAGTGACTCGGACAGCGGGGTAACGGCAGAGCCCATGCTGTCCATGACGGTCCGGGACCACGCTCTGCCCTTTCTCGTTGACACAGGGGCTACCAGATCTACGGTTAATCAGGACATTGGGCCTCTGTCTGAACGGACGATGAGCGTGGTGGGTTTCTCTGGGGTAAGTCAGATTCTGTCATTTACCATCCCCCTCCCCACACACGTAGCGGGACAGAAATTACAACACCCCTATCTAGTGTCTCCGTGTTCCAGTCAATCTCCTGGGTAGGGACCTACTCTCGAGACTCAATGCACAGATCCGCTGCGGTCAGCAGGGCCTCACTGTCACGTTCCCGGATGGGTCTGAAGTTCTATGTGCACAAGGGATTGGGGACACACACCAGTACCTCCTCAGAGACACTGAACCTAGATTTGCAGACATTTTCTGGGCCCTGTTGGAGCCATCACAAACTGGGCTCTACTCATGTTATCTCCATTGGAAACCCTGGATCCTCAGCGTCCACGCCTACGTGGCTCCACCTGACCCGCTCCATCTGACTCTGTTCTACGACCGGGAGGGTAATGAATGTTACTTAGAGGAATTCCAAAATCAGCTAGAATGTAAGACCTGGCAGCTACATTCTGGTGACATTTTGGTGGGACAACAGGGGGTTGCGGCAATGGTTAATCTCACGAGAGAGCAACAGTCCTGGTATAATATGTCTGAGACTGCTTTCCCCCACATTTCACTGGCTCTCCATCCGGGACATGAGGCTCGTGAATTGGGCCCCATGGTCAAAGCAGCAGTCTCAGCCTCAGACTGGTCTTCCTCCGGCCTGCCTGGCGTGCTCCGCTCGCCGTCCCTGAAAATGTTCAGAATTGTGAGTACTACCACTGACTCTGCTTTATGCACACATGAACTCATACCTAGAGACCATGGTAGGGGACCAATACGGTCCCGGTGCCAAACCCATATATTGCTCTGAACAATCTGTCCCCCGAACAAGCATGGTTCACATGTATTAATCTTGCTAACGCTTTTTTCTGTCTCCCTTTACATGAGCACATTCGGGACGTCTTCTCGTTCACCTACCAGCGTCGCAGACTCCGTTACACCCGCCTCCCACAGGGATTCGCCCTCTCCCCTGGCATCTTTAACCAGGTTCTGAAAGAGAGTTTGGCTGACCTGCAGCTGCCCGATGGCACCACAGTGATTCAATATGTCGACGACCTGCTCATTGCGTCCACCACAGCCGAGTCCTGCCTGCAGGCCACACGGGCCCTGCTCCTACTCCTGGCCCGCCACGGGTTCAAGGTCAGTCAACCTAAGTTGCAAATCGCGCGGAAACAAGTTTCTTTCCTCGGCAGACTACTGTCACAAAAGGGGGCCTCATTGTCCCCCGCCCACCGCACATCCATTCTGCACCACACCAAGCCTGACACTGTCAAAGCTATGCTGTCGTTTCTCGGTTTGGTGGGTTACAGCAGGCAGTACATACCTGATTTTTCCACTCTCACGTCTCCGCTGAGAGCCATGGTCACCTCTGCAGGTATGAGAAATCTGAATGCGAAGCTGACATGGTCCCGCGACTCGGAAGAAGCTTTTATCAAACTCAAACAAGAACTCGCTGCATCCGCCGAATTGGCCCACCCCGACTACGCGCGCCCGTTCTTTTTGGATGTTTCTGAAACAGAATCTGTTGCTAACGGTATTCTGTTCCAGAAAAAAGGGGGAGAGAGAACGGTACTGATGTATCTCAGTGTCATCCTTGACCCCACAGAAAAACGTCAACCAACGTGCACAAGACATGCTGCAGGTGTTGCCAAACTCATCAACAAAAGCGCACACATAGTTATGGGACACACACTTCACATCTTGACATCACACAGCGTTGTAGCTTATGTGAACTCGCAGACTTTTACGATGTCCTCCACAAGAGAGCAAAAACTCGCTCGCATTCTCGAAGCCCCAAACTTTCTATTCACTCATGAAGGTGTTAACATGGCTGAGCGTTTGGGGGAAGGTGTGTTGCATGAGTGTGCCCACAGGGTTGAAAAAGAAGAAAAAGCCAGAGAAGACCTCCAGTCGGAGCCCATCCTAGGGGCCAGAAACCTATACACAGACGGATGCTGCTACAGAGATGAGAAGGAGGGACTCAGAGCAGGATTCTTGGTGATAGAAGAAACACCAGGCGGACTCAAGACGGTAACAGCACAAAAGCTCAATGGACCACAGTCAGCCCAGAGAGCAGAAGTCGTGGCAGTGATTGAAGCCCTGAAAGCAGGTAAAGACCAAGACATTAACATTTACACTGACTCAGCCTATGCAGTACACGCAGCACAAGTAGACCTAGGACAATGGATGAGAGCGGGCTACCTAACTGCAAAACAAGAACCCATTAAACACATGGATGAAATGAAAGAGCTTGCAAAAGCACTGTGGTTTCCCCAGAAGGTGGCCATCATCAAATGCAAAGGACACGACAACAGCGGATCCAGAGTTGCCATGGGCAACCAAGCAGCGGACTCCGCAGCCAAAGCAGCCGCAGGATATCATGAGAAGCTCCTGTTCAGTGGCGGTTCTAGACCAAATTACTCCCCGGGCGAGCACCCCTCCAAGTGCCCCCCCCCCCAGCTAGAATTTTGAACAGATAGTTTTGTATTACTATGTAGTATTATTATTATTATTATAACAACAAAAATAATATATTTCTCAGTTGCAGAAATCCTTCAATAGAAAAAAACACAATCCTGAGGGCCATTTTCAGAAGGGCCCCCAGATCCTGAGGTTTTCTGACGTGTTAAGGTTTACAAAAAAGCTGCTATCTCGGCCTCTGTAGTAGATAGAAACAAAATTCAAAAAGTATTTGAGAGCTTAAACATGTGGCTTTCAAGAAAGCTCTCTTTTAGTTTTGCGAACCTTCATCACATTTTTGAAAACCTTGAACAAACAAACTCAAATGAAATAAAGCGGCTGTATAAATAAAAGTAAAGGCTCTGCACTGGAGAATGACAAATAATTTGCTTTCTGTAAAACAAGTGGCAGTCATGATAAAGTGTCCATTCAATACAAATGTAAATGTAGAAAATAAGGTGTTGAAAGGGTATACAGCTGCCTCAGTATAGTGCCAGTACAAAAGCAGAACTAAAAACTAAAAAATGAATAAATAAATACGTGGCTGACAGTGTGTTCATCTCTGTTCTCACCCAAAGTCATGCAACACTCAGAGAAAACGCTGATAGTGTGAGCCAAAGCACTCCCTATGAAGAGGTTGTCCACACTGCTGGATGTTTCTCCTCTGAAGCTGCTCTCTGCCGCCGTCATTGTTTACTTTACTCATGAAGCTCATCAAGCACGTAGCAAGATCGCTACGAGCGCTTTATTCGCCTATCAAAGGCAGACGGGTACGGTGATTTCATTCACTGCGACTCCAGAAATGATTAAAAAACTACAAAATGACGTATCCGCGCTCCCGCTGATATGCTGACATACACAGAGCAGAGCTCGCGACTCTCTCCCCGCCTCGTCTCATACAGTCTGCCTACAGCAGCGGGGGGGCGCCAATTTGACAACAAGAGTTAATACAAATCCGCTTTGCGGTCAAGATTTATTATTATTATCTTTTATTTTATTTTTTTGAAGTGCTCGTGCCGCCCCCCATGAGTCATGACACAAATGCCGCCCCGGGCGGCTGCCCTGTTCGCCCGTGCCTAGAACCGCTACTGCTCCTGTTGGTAAGACCAGACACAGAGACACAAATGACAAAACTGTCCCTTACAGAAATCTCAAAAGAACAGGACCTAGCCTCACCTGAAGAGAAGACAGTGTGGAAACTCAGAGGCGCAGTCCTATCGGAAGGGACCTGGAGATCCCCAGATGGAAGGTTGGTTCTGCCACCTGGGCTCAAAGACAGTATCTTCTCAGAAGCACATGGAGTTGGCCATGCAGGCATCTCCCAGATGAAAGTGGACCTCAAAGAATGGTGGCACCCCTTCCTACATGACATGCTAAAGGAGTGGGTAAGACACTGCATTGTTTGCACACACCACAACACCAGACCTACATACAAACCCGGGGTGGGTAAGTTCCAACTAAAAACACGTCCAGGGAAAGAAATCATCATTGATTTTACAGATATGGTTAACTCAGTCCGAGGGTACAGGTATGTTTTGATGTGTGTTGATGCATTTACAGGATGGCCAGAAGCATGGCCAGTGAAAAGAGAGGACAGCAAATCAGTAATTAAGTGTCTCATCAACCATTACATCCCACAGCATGGCTTCCCAGAAAAGATCAGGTCGGACAATGGGTCACACTTCAAGAACCAGGACCTCCAGTACGTGGAGGCCATGTTGGGACTCAAACATGGTTTTGGGTCCGTGTATCATCCTCAATCTCAGGGTAAGGTTGAGAGGATGAACCAGACAGTCAAGAACAGGCTGTCAAAGATTTGTGCCCATACAGGGCTGAACTGGGTGGATGCTCTACCGCTCG